CCCGCGTCCCCTGCATCGGCAGGCGGACTCTCAACCACTGCGCCACCAGGGAAGCCCCCAACTTGTGTTTTGAAGACACCTTTCTATGAAATAGAACAAGTATTTCTGAAAACACGTTAGCTCATCAACATTTCATCTGCTTGTGAAAACAAAGATGAAAATATAAAACATATGCCACAGTTAAAAGGAAATGACCTTGCAAAATTCAAGAACATTGTCTTTAGTATTGGAAAACTTTCATGACATTAAAAATGTCAGGCAAAAAAAAAAAAAAAAAAAGTCAGGCAGCCATGGGGAGCAGCCTAGTGAAAAGCATACTAAGGAGGAAATAAGGGCCTTATCTCTGCTTGTAATTATTATGGCGCTACTTTCTCATCTTCAGCCCAGAGCTTTTGGCATCCCCTAAGTTTAAAGGCGATGGCAACTTGTTCTAGTTTGTCTTTTTTTTTTTTTAATGCAGCAAAGGCCAAAAAATATAACTTTTTCTAGTAATCTCATTTCGTTTAACTCCATATTCATCATTTATTCTTTTATTCATTGATTTGTTCACATTTCCATAAGATGATTACTGAATATGTAGGTTTGCCCAGGGCTGAGTAGTTTCCCAGGGTGCAGGACTTTCAGTACAGAAACTCAAAGAGTTGTATGCAAACCTGGACCTCTGGTCACCCTAATGTGTGCTTGGTGATGGGGATACAAAACTGAGTAAGACAGAGTCTCTGCCCTAGAAAAGGTTGCATCTGTAGCACTGGACACTTGCCAGGTGAGATAGTATCAATACATCAGAGGCCAGGAAGTATAAGTGCCAGGAATGGTATGGATTATGAGTCAGCCTGGCCTTTTCCACATAATTTTGGCTGATCACTTCTGCCAGAGGAAGAGCTGGAGGTAGGTGTGCAGGTGTTTATGTAGTTATTGAACTTCTGGTTCTTAGACTGCCTTGGAAAACCTATAAATAAGGTAGTATTTGGCTTTCTGTTGACGCAGTCCAGCTCTTAATATATTATAAAAACATTAAAATATTAAAAGAACAGCCTAAGGGATTAAATTTTTACATATTAAAATTGCTTCTGTCACTGCAAACCCTTGGATTCTCTTTCTAAGAAATGCTAAGACTTCCTAAAATTCTATTTGTTCTGTGTTGGTTTAAACGGAATACCATATTCTTCAGATTGGTGACTTTTCTGAATCACAGCAAATGATGGTGTTAAAAGAGAAAAATTTTTTGGTTCTAAGGAGGAAACTGCTTATTTTCTGTGATTTCTGGAAAGGCATACATTTGAAGAACTACAAAATCAGAATGAATCTGATGCACTTCATATCGTCCATTATGAAATAAATTTTTAGTCATTAAAAACACATTCAAAGGTAATCTAATATGGATTTCCTGTTATTTTATAGTAATTGCATTTTATGAGAAACCAGATTAATCTTTTACATTTGTACATGTAGCTCTGTTAATGAGGTATATGTTCATATTTACTTTTTATTGTTTTTATTATTAATAACTTAAGTCCAAGTCTAAAAACAATCCATAGTTAGCAGAATTTAAGAACAGACAGTATTAAATAAACTGCTTTATAGTGAGTGTTTGCTCCTTTGTCTCTTTCAGAAATCAGGTATTATGATGAACTGTGTAAAGCAATGGCTGAGGAATTGAATGCTGTCATTGTCTCCATTGAGTAAGTAATTAATAATAGTCATAGAAAAACATTTAAGAAGGAATCCTAGATAACCATCTAGTTATTTTATTTTACAAGTGCTAGAGTGTAAAATGAAAGTCCAGAGAGGTGAAGTGATTTTCCCAAAGTCACAGAAAATGATTTCTGATGTAACTTAGAATTTCTCGAACTAGCTTTATAATGCCTCAAACTATCCTTTTATTTTAGTTTTGGAACCTTCTGGAAACAGAATTAGCTGAAATTGAGAGAAATATATAATCAGTTATTTATCGTATATAGTTTGATTACTGCCTTTTTTTTTTACTTTAGTATAGCTCTGTATTATTAGACTATTGAAGTGTAAGAAAGCCATGCAATGCCTTTCAAGAGGAATTAAAGTATAGCTAACTAACTTTAATAAGTTATAGTTGAATCATTAACCTTGTGAACTGCAAGGTCAGACAGTGCTCATGGAATTTCAGGAGAAAAACCCTAAAGGGAAAGATTATTTTGTTATGCTGTTATGTGGAAATAAACTATGATAAAAGCATAAGAGAGAAGGGATTTTTTTCCATCAGGTTTTCTCTTAGACAGCCAAGTAAAAGCATATTCTAAAAATTACCACTATAAATTTCAACTAATGTTGAAGTTAAAAAAATTCCTGTATAGTGTGACTGTTTTCTGTGTTAATTCTCTCACTTTACCTTCACAAGTGCTGAGAAAGCAAAGGAAGTTTGGACATACCAGATAATTCCTACTATTCCATCAGATCCACTCATTTAAAATTAAGTGGAAATACGGTTAAATCCCCTACAGTAAGTCTCAGAACGGACAAGTTCTGTTCCGAGAGCGCATTCCTAAATCCAATTTGTTCGTAAGTCCAACCAACACAATCGTTATCACTTGGTGCTTCTTAGCAGTGTACCAGCTACTTCACCGCTGCTTTTACACTTGCTTCCGGACACCCTGGGCTTGAAATAAAGATACTGTACTACTGTACTCCAGACAGTACTATACATGATTACTGCCTTTTTAAATCTAAAAACCAATCAGCATTTTAAGAGAATCTCTCCTACACCAAGAGTTGGAGAAGTCATCCTCCTGGAGTTAGGTTCTGTGATTCAGACCTTGTAAATAATAGTGTGTTCAACCAATCTTAGTTAATGTAGCTATTATTAGTAGTATTAATATTAATATCAGTGTTTTGAGTTGTTTCTACCAGTTCTATACTAGCTATTTTTCTGGGACACTAAGAAGAAAGTGAATAATAATTATAATGATTGCGGTGATGGTAATACAAAAATCATGGCACCTATTCCGTGGCAGGCATTGTGCAGGTGCTATGTATATATTGTTTCTCCCCCTTCAGATCTTTGTTCAAGTATCATCCTTTCAGCAAGGCCTTCCTTGACACCCCTAAAACTGCAGTCCACTTTTCTTCTGCTTTATTTTTCTCCAAAATTATCAACATCTGACAGACCATATATATAACTTATTATGTATTTATTGTATTGAATATAAATAGACAATGTAAGTTTTATGAAGGCAGAGATTTTAGGGATTCTTGTCTGTTTTGTTCATTGCTGATCATTAGTGTCTGGAAACGTCCCTGGCAGATAGTGGAAATTTATGACATTGTGATTTGTAAGAAATATATATTTGGTCATTCAGATGACCAAAGTGTATTTTTCACATGTACTTGGTCTTCGTCCAAAGTTCCTGGCTCACAGCTCCCCAAATCCTTCAAATTTCCTAAGTGTTCAGAGAGTTAAAGTAGTCTTTTGTGGGACTTCCCTGGTAGTCCAGTGGTTAAGACTTCACCCTTCCACTGCAGGGGGCAAGGGTTCGATCCCTGGTCAGGGAACTATCCCGCCCCTGCCCCCCTTGCATGGCCAAAAAAAAAAGGTATCTTTTGTTATGTGAATGAGGTGACTTTTGGAAGCACCTAAGGATGGGGGCTGGTTGCCAGGAGAACCAACCATGTGTTTAGAGGGTTGGGACTTTCCCACCCCGCTGGCCTCTGGGGAGGGGAGATGGGCTGGAGGTTTTATCAATCACCAATAGCCAATGATTTAATCAATCATAAATAGGTAATGAAACCTCCATAAAAACCCAAAGGACAGAGTTCAGAAAGCTTCCAGTTGGTGAACACATGCAGATTTGGGGAGAGTAGTGTACCTCCAGAAGGCATGGAAGCTCTGCAACCCTTCCCACCTACCCTGACTTTCGCATCTCTTCCATCTGGCTGTTCCTGAGTTGTATTCTTTTTATAATAAATCAGTAATCTAGTAAGTAAAATATTTCTCTGAGTTCTTTGAGCCACTCTAGCAAATTAATTGAACCAGAGGAGGAGGTTTTGGGAACCTCTGATTTATAACTAGGTGGTCAGAAGTACAGTAACAACCATTGGCATCCTGAGTTGGAGGGGATTGTTGGAACCTCCGATCTATAGCTTGGGGAAAAGCATAGGTGACAACCTGGGTTTGTGTCTGGTGTCTGAGGTTGGGGGTGATCCTACAGTTTTGCAGGACTGAACCCTTAATCTGTGGAATCTGCCGCTATCTCCAGGTAGCTATTGTCAGAATTGAGTTGAACTGTAGGACACCCAGCTGGTGTCCAGAGCATTGCTTGTTGGAGGTGCAGGGCACCTCCTCCATCACACACACATGTTGAAAATTAGTCACAGAACACCAAAAGAGCATTTAATACGTATTTATGGAATGAATGAATAAAGAGTCTTGCTTAACTTTCGTATAAGTCATCCAAAGTAAGTATTTTGATATTTTCCTCATAGATGAGGAAATTAAGGTCCAAAAAGTTAAGTAACCTGCAAGAGGTCACATAGCTACTTAGTCACATATGTGGAGTGGGGAATTGAGCCAGGTGGAATCACTCGCCAGGCTCCTATGCTTCTTTGACCCAGTATCAAACTAATATTGAAGGAAGCTGATGATGCTGAGTGACAGGGTTATGGCAACATCAGCCACTTTCCATGCCCTGAGCTTATGTAGCTCTCCCCTTCCCTCTGCCTCTCTGCCAGCTGCACTCCCATTCATAACTCATCTCCTTCTTGCCCCTACTCCAGATCGCAGACCTAAGAGAATCCTTGCTTCTCCAGTTCCTTGGAAGGGTTGGTCTCCTAAGTCATTTAGGCAGCTCTGACCCTGTGAATGGGAGCCTTAGAATCAGAGTGATGCTGTGGCTTCCTCCTCTGCAAATGTGGCACTGGACAACTCTGGACACCTCCCCGGCCTCCCTGGATGCTCAGCTGGGCCTCCCAGATCACTCAAGGGCTCTTGATGCAGTTTTATAATGCAGGAACCTTCAAGTAAACGATTGTATTATCTGGCCTGGGTAGCTGGCCAGAGGAAGGCAGGGCTGTTTAAGCAGCTGAACTCCATTATGGAGCAAGGCCCTGCAGCTTGGTGCTGGTGAGCTGGCCTCAGGGCCTCTTCAGTGGTTTCCTGTGTAGCTCCAACTCCTCAAAGGCCTGAGGAGAGGAGAGAAGGTGGACTTGTTTTACTTGGTACCATAAGGATTCTCCACACAAGCCTTATCCTCCAGGGCTAATGTAAGCAACTGGCAACATGCCTAAGCTCTTCCTACATGCCCTTCTCCACCTGTTAGCATCTGTCTCCAGTGAAACAGGTGTTCTTTTTAAATCTGTGCTTATCAAAAAACAAAGAAGGATGGATAGGGTGTTTTTTTTTAATAAATTTATTTATTTAATTTATTTATTTTTGGCTGCACTGGGTCTTCGTTGTGGCACGTGGGCTTTTCGTTGTGGTGGCTTCTCTTGTTGCAGAGCACGGGCTCTAGGCGCACGGGCTTCAGTAGTTGTGGCTCGTGGGCTCTAGAGCGTAGGCTCAGTAGTTGTGGCGCACGGGCTTAGTTGCTCTGTGGCGTGTGGGATCTTCCCGGACCAGAGCTTGAACCTGTGTCCCCTGCATTGGCAGGTGGATTCTTAACCACTGCTCCACTGGATAGGGTGTTTTTAAGATTTTTTTTTTTAAAAAAACTAAAATATAGAAGGGCCCTGCTTTCATCTTCACTTTCCACTGCGCCAAATCTGTTCAATACAGCATCCGGTTTAGTAGCAGATAAACATCACACCAGTGGGCAAGTACCATTACTCAAGGCTGTGTAATCTCAGGCAAGTCACTTAACCTCACGTGCAAAATAGGGTTAGGAATCTTTCCTGCGTATGTCAACGTGAGCTACTGGGAACAAGAATCATGTCCTCTTTCCTTTGGGCCCACCGCACCCAGTACATGGCTTAAACATGTGTGCTAATAAGTAGATACACTTTGAGTTGGGTTAATGATTTCAGAGAGTTGTTATGAGAATCAGTTTGGACATTTGAGATAAAAGGGCTTCTGATACTCTAAATAACTAGACAAGTCTGAAGGGTTATTGCTCTAGCCCATAGGACAGAAAGGTCCAACTTAACTACTTTATTTATCAACGTGTTTGGAACTCACAGCACTTTTCTTTGCAGAAATAATGAGCTACGGTGATTAGGATCCATCCAGGCGAGCCAACCCACAAAGAGCCACATAACCTATGCTCTAGTTGAGGTATAGCCAACATCATATGACTGTGATGTTTCTCTTGGAAAGTATGTTCAGAGGTCTAACGTGGGACCATATTTCTTCTCACTGCTCACCTCTTTCTTTTATTCCATAAACGCCTATTGAATTCCTGTTATGTGCCAGCTACTGTGTTAAATTCTGGTGGCATAACAGTGTGAGTAAGAGAGGCATAATTTCTGTCCTCATGGAGTTTAGATGAGAAATCAAACCTTGAACAAGTAATATTAAATGTGATAAGTGATGTGAAGTAGTAATGGAGGCATCGAGTAGGTAAGATCTTACCTAGTTTGAAGGGTTTGAATCGAGCTCCTAGGGATGAGCAGAACCTAGTCAGACAGAATGAATTGCTCATGGAAGTCCAAAGTGGTGTAATGAGAGGGCTTGGGAGGATGGGAGGAGGCAGAGAGCATTAAGGGAATGAAATATGAG